ACCACAGCTGTGTTCTAAAGTATGCTTGGTTTTGTTGGACTGTAAGAATGTTATGTTTACAGAAGTTAAACCACAATATAACAAGTTTGGTTATGAAACCAATTGAAAAAATGGAAGGCTATTGCTTTATGGAAGGTCACATCCTAAGAACTTAATCCATCTCTAATATGACCAGGACTTCCCTTCCCATTTCACTGCCAACCTTCCCTTCCAAACTGTTTCTGTCATTTCAGTGTGGATTAAGATTTTCTTCTGTGGGGATTAAGACTTCATTACTTTCTTCTTCTTCAGCTCCTTCACCTGGAAGGGTAGAATAGCTGTCCAATATATGAAGAAAGTAATTACTCCATTGCTTGTGGGGGAGAAGAAAAGCTACTCAAGAGGAATAGGATAGTTTTTTCATGGTTCTCTGTTCATTTTCCAGTATATGGTCAAGCAGCATAAGGAGCAGATATCCGAGAATACAACTCTGTATACCACCTAATAAATATTACGTTGCCCCAAATTATTTTAGGGAGGCCCTGATATTTCAGCACAATTCAACAGGTGGTGTCTCAGACCAACATATGAAAATAAAGAATGGAAAGGGTAATGTACTGCTTCACCCTAAAGTAAACTTTGTTGTGGTCCTTCAAATCATTGTCTGATTTATGATGACCCTAATAAATGGTTTTCTTGGCAATATTTGCTTAGAGGGGGATTGTCGTTGCCTTCCTCTGAGGCTGAGAGTGTGTGACTTGCCCAAAATCATTTAGTATTTTTTAGTGGCTGACCAGTGACCCAACCTCTAGTTTTCCAGTTGTGAAGAATTAATGCAATGGTGTAGTAAAATGGTGTCTCATATATAAAATGGCAAAAATCAAAGTTTACTTTTCTGATGTTTATTTACACTACAATATGTGTGGTTGAATCTGTGAATGCGTGAATGTGGAGGACCAACTGTATGTTGTTTTATTTTCAATTATCTTTTTGCATTTTAAAAAAAACATTTATATCCCATTCTGTATCACAGAATCTCAGGGAATCTGTGAGTATGGATGGCTGACTGTGTTCATGTTAAAAACAAATATTTTATCTTCAAACCTGACAGTATTATTTTCTTTACACATTGTTTCTCTTCTCATGTTTGTTTATTTCCAGAAAGATTAGGTGATATATCAGAACATTCAGGGCTGCATACAAGTAAAATCAACACTATCAGGTTGAAACCATTTAAAAGTAATACTACTAATACTTTAAGTAGAGGAATAGTAAGGGTGCCACAAATGTCGCTCAAGTCTCTTATTTGGCCAGCTCACTGGTTGCCTAGAGCACCTCAGGTACTGTCGCTCAAGAGAAGTAAATGGAAAGCTAAGAGGAGCAACAGAGAAGAGGAAGAAACTCAGAGGAGGCAGCTGGGGAGTTATGAGATTCTCCAAGTGAAGAAGTTTATATTTCCTTATAAGAGAGCCCAGACTTTCCAAGGATAAGGAAAAGACTGGACACTTAGATAATAGGCCGCCAGGTTTCAGTAGCATGCCCTCCAACCATCCTGATTGATCAGTTTAATTGTTGGCAACCCTACTCTTTCAGCACCTTTTAAAATGTCCCAGTTTATTTCTCCTCCTCCTCCCACTTTTCCCCTTCGTCTTCAATTTCTGCAAACTAAGTTCAAAGTAAAAAGTAGTTTGCCCTTAATGAACTTAACAGAGAAGGAAAAGATATGGCTCTTTCTAAAATGGATGTGCACATAGAAAAGTGCACAAGAGAGAAGTAAAGTGTAATGCATAGAAATCCAAAAGATGGAAGACAAAGAATTCCAAATACAAAATCATTACATCAGCTTCCGATATTAACATAATATTCAAAGAGAAGCCATGATAAGAGATCCCTAAATAATTATTTCAGAACTCATGTTGAGAGTTAAACAAGATCATCTCTTGTTAGTACTCTTCAAGCCTTTCGTACACTATTGAAGACATGTTTTTTTTCTGACAAGCCTTCGGCCATATTTAGATTTCTTTAATGAATATATATGAGGTCCCATAGATTTCACAAAGCACTTTGTATGACTGAAATTGATTATTGTTGTTATATACGTGCAATAATTGCTGTATTTTATTGATTTTAACCAGGGTTTTTTTTAAAGTGAGATATTTATGTTGGCTGTTATTGCTTTATGTTATTGTTTTTGCAATTTTTGTATTTTACATGTTTGCACCTTTGAGTGCTTTTAAGACATCTGGAAGATGGTGGTGGGATATAAATAAATTTTATTTTTATTTTACTTCAGTGGGAGATTGTGAACAAGTACCTGGTGCTGCAAGCTATGTTTCAGAGGAAAGAACTTGCACGGTGGAGGTTTGGACTGGATGGCCCTTGTGGTCAATATGATTCTAGGAAAACCTCTTCTAAGTATTTGGTGCTTAAGAATACCCTATGACATTAATGGGGTCACCACAAATTGACAGGCAACTTGAAGGCAACTTAAAAAAATCCACTCATGTTTTTTTCATTCTATATAAGGAATACCATTTGATGTCATTGCATATAATGAGTCTTGGGAAGACACAGATTTTGGTATCCACAGGGGGTTCTGGAATCAAACCCTAATGGATAACAAGCACTCACTGTATTGCAGCTCTCCTTGACAACAGGGATGAAATTGGTAATCTTTCTTCCACAAGACTTGATCACACCCTAATTTTGAAACCAAACCACTTAGCAATCCAGAAAGACAAAGGTATTACGAATGCAAAAGATACTCAAGGAAGGTTTCCTACAAGGGCAGCCTCAATTACAGGGAGATAAAGACACAATACAAAACACAAGGACATCAGGTTGTATCAAACGGTAGTCAAAATGTAGCCTTGGGACCGCATGTAGCTCCAAGGCTGTTTTTGCAGTCATGATTTCTCCAGACCTCTAAACAATCCTTGTGCACAATCTAAAAGAGGGGCCATGGTCTCTCTAGGAAGCCTTCCCTATTTCACATTTAAAATATGTTTTTCCCCCAAACAAAATTCTCTTAAAGCATTTTTGACAGGCTATATAGACCCAGAATGTCCCAGGGCAGATGATCAGCCCCAACTGCTTGGGAAGATGGTGATTGAGCATTTAGACAACGTGGCCAGTCTTAGCAGACTTGATGGCGGAAGATTGTAACTTCAGTATTGGTGGCCTTTGTCCAAGTTTGGTTCAGTTCCATCGTTGGTAGAGTTCAGAATGCTCTTTGATTGTAGATTAACTATAAATCCCAGCAAATACAACTCCCAAATGACAAAATCACCCCCCCCCCAATCACACCAATTTTCAAATTTGGGCGTATTGGGTATTTGTGCCAAATTTGGTCCAATGAATGGAAATACATCCTGCATGTCAGATCTTTACATTACAATTCATAACAGGAGCAAAATTTCAGTTATGAAGTAGCAATCAAAGTAATTTTCGGTTGGGGGTCACCAAAACATGATGAAGTGTGTTAAAAGGCCGCGGCATTAGGAAGGTTGATAAAACTACTTTAGGCAGTCTTTGACCTTCGGGCATCTGCATACTGACAAATTTCCAGGAAAGAAAGAGTGTGTTGTTGAAAGCTTTCATAGCCCGAATCACTGGGTTGCTGTGAGTTTTCCAGGATGTATGGCCATGTTCCAGAAACATCCTCTCCTGACATTTCGCCCACATCTATGACAGGCATCCTCAGAGGTTGTGAGGTCTGTTGGAAACTACGCAAGTGAGGTTTATATATCTGTGGAACAATGTCCGGGGTGGGAGGAAGAACTCTTGTCTGCTTGAGACAACTGTGGATATTGTAATTGGCCAGCTTTGAATGGCCTTGCAGCTTCAAAGCCTGACTGCTTCCTGCCTGGGAGAATCCTTTGTTGGGAGGTGTTAGCTGGCCCTGATTGTTTCTTCTCTGGAATTCCCCTGGGGTTTTTGTGTGTGTGTTATTTTTTATTTACTATTCTAATTTTGGAGTCACCAATAGGAACACAACTGAATGATGACTTGATATGAGACGCTCATGACAATGTTTTAAGGCTTGTACGGTTTTATATTTTTATATTGTATGTTAATGTTTTAATAATATTTTATGATTAATCATAGAATCATAGTTGGAAGAGACCTCATGGGCCATCCAGTCCAACCCCCTGCCAAGAAGCAGGAATATTGCATTCAAAGCACCCCTGACAGATGGCCATCCAGCCTCTGCTTAAAAGCTGCCAATAATAATAATAATAATAATAATAATAATAATAATAATAATATCTGTGCAGTCATGCCGGCCACATGACCTTGGAGGTGTCTAGGGACAATGCCAGCTCTTCGGCTTAGAAATGGAGAAGAGCACCACACCCCAGAGTCAGACACTCAGAGGCAGAGAGTTCCACTTGTTATACTTTTTAATTGTTATACTTTTTAATTGTTGTGGCTGTTGAGACATTGAATTGTTGCCATTTGTAAACCCCTTCGAGTCGCATTTTGAGCTGAGAGGGGCGGTATATAAATATAGTAAATAAATAAATAAATAAATAACAATATTCCAGGGGGAAAATGGCTAGCCACCCATGATTCCATAGCATTGCGCAATGGCAGGTAAAAGAGGTGTCAAACTGTGTTAATCCTACAAGTTGTAGATACACTCCAAGTTGTAGTACACCCAGCCCAACCTTTTCAGTGGATCAGGCAACTTTCTTCCAGAGGAGGCCACCCATGTGTTTTGTAGCTTAACTTAAGCATGCTTCCACATCTGCAATGCAGCATCCAAATGAAACTCAGCTGGGGGTGGAGGAGAGATGCGAGAGGGAGGGAGACATGGACCAAGAGGGAAGGGGGGATCTTGAAGAACAGGAAAAGGCCACTCAGTCCTTTTGTTTGCCCCCTCCCCACCCCAAAAAAAAAATCCTTTCCTTCTCCATATCGTCCAGCACAGCACTCCCCAAAGGGCTGTCTCAAGCCTTGCCCAGCCAGAGTCCAGGGGAGCGAGGCGCCAGGTCTCCGCAAGAGGGCGCCCTTCCTTTTCTTCCCTTCTCCATTGTCTGCTCGCAAGCCCTCGCTCTCTCTCCCTCTTGTCCACACTCACAGAGGAGGCAACACGCAGGATTCACCATCTCCTTCCCGACACAGAAGAGAGGGGAGCCGAGGCATCCCTCCGAGGTGTGGGGGGATTTCCCCCTCCTGCCAGATGCCGGGGGATTAGCAGCTCCCTCCTCCCATCGGAGCCCCTTTGGCATTGTGGAAGGCGAAGAGGGAGAGAGGAGAAGGCGAAAAAAGCCCTCGGAACGCCTGCAACCAGGAAATTGCTCTCCAAACAGCAGGTAGGAAGGAAGGAAGGATCTGTCCGGGGAATGCCACCGCGGGGGTGGAGTGACCCTTTTGGGGAATTGGAGGACGAAATCGACCCAAAGAGGGAGGGGAGGAGGTGGGGCGCAGTCCCAGCTTGGAGGCACAGAAGGGACCCAGGATACATAGATAGTATCCCTCTGCACCATTGATAGAAGACTCCCATTGAGTAGGTCGCTTGCAAAATGCTGTAGACATAGGTTGCTCGGGATTTTTAGGGTGTCCTTTGGGATCTGATGCGGTTTGGCTCCAGAAGACCCCAGTCTGTAGATCCTCAAGTCCCATTCTAGGCAAGGATGTAGTCAAATGGCTTCAATAAAAGGGGAAAATCCATTTAAATCATATTTTCAAGCTCTGGATGTAGGAGGAGGCCCAACTGTACTTGGGGAGAAGAGATAAGGCTCCCCAGCAGGTTGGTGCAGCAGCCCAAGAATATTGCAGTGGGAAAGATTTTCAGTGGGATCTTCTGAAAGGTTGAGTTCCTCCACTCACTTCACTTCTCCAGCTGAAGCTGTTTCTCCTCTTTCTTTCTTTTTAGAAAGCTGGCTTTCACTTTAATTCCCCCCCCCCCCCCCATGAACACAAAGCTTTAGCAACATGTGTTGCTGCTGGCAGAGGTAAAAGTATCCCCTTGGAAAAGCACCTTCTGCATTCCCTTTTCACATCCACGATTGAACGCCCCTGGCATTTAGTTACGGATTTCGAGGATGATTAAAAAAGGAAGGATTTTGAGGAGGGTTAAAAGAAAAGGAGAAAGGAGACCATAAAAAGGTGAAGGTAGGATTGTGTTGCTGGGGAGGAAGCTGAATAGATCTGGGGCCCTTCCACACAGCCATATAACCCAGAATATTATAGAATCCTAGAGTTGTGGGCCATCCAGTCCAACAACCTGCCAAGAAGAAAGAAAATTGCATTCAAACCACCTCCAACAGATGGCCATCCAGCCTCTGCTTAAAAGCCTCCAATAATAATATCTGTGCAGTCATGCCAGCCACATGACCTTGGAGGTGTCTATGGACAATGCCGGCTCTTTAGCTTAGAAATGGAGAAGAGCACCACACCCCAGAGTCAGACGTGACTGGACTTAATGTCAGGGAACAACCTTTACCTTTACCTCTCTGTCAGCTGCAAAAGGCCACCTTACTGGAATCTGCACACATTATTTGCTGATACACCACACAGTCCTAGACACTTGGGAAGTGTCCAACGTGTGATCCAATACAACAGCCAGCAGAGTGATCTTCTTTGCTGTGCACTCATCTTGTGTTTCAAATAATAATAAACTTTATATTCTGCCCAATCTCCTCGGAGGGACGCGCGGTGGATTCCAAACATAAAAGGCAAGCATTCAATGCCCAAATACAATAACAATACATCCAGAGTAACAAAATTTAGCAACCCAATATATAAACACAAATTATGACTTCACAACTAAAATTAAATTTTAAAAAAATGCTGCCTGTTATATCAAACATAAGACAAAACATCAGACATCGAACAGAAGCATCAAAGAAGGAGCCTCTACCACACTTTGGGGTAGAGAGTTCCACTGCTGAACAGCTCTCATAGTGATGAAGTTCTTCTTCATGTTCAGGTGGAATCTCCTTTCCTGTGGTTTGAAGTTATTGCTCTGTGTCCTAGTCTCCAAGGCAGCAGAAAACAAGCTCCTCCCTGTGACTTCCCTTCACATATTTATACATAGCTGCCCCGAGTCCCTCTTGGGGAGATGGTAGCAGGGTATACATAAAGTTTATTATTATCATCATCACCATCATCATGTCTTCTCTCAGCCTTCTCTTCTACAGGCAAAACATGCCCAGCTCTTTAAGCCGTTCCTCATAGGGCTTGTTCTCCAGACTCTTGATCATTTTAGTCACCCTCCTCTGAACACATTCCAGCTTGTGGACATCTCCCCTCAATTGTGAGTGCCCAGAATTGGACACAGGATTTGAGGTGTGGTCTGACCAAGGCAGAATAGAGGGGTAGTATGACTTCTCTGGATCTAGACACTAGGCTCCTATTTATGCAGGCCAAATGCCTATTGGCTATTTTTGCTGCCGCATCACATTGTTGGCTCATGTTTAACTTGTTACCCACGAGAACTTCCAAGTTCTTTTTCACATGTACTGCTGTCGAGCCAGGTGTCCCCCATTCTGTATCTTTGCATTTCTTTCTTTTCTTTTTTCTCTTTCTTTTTCTTTTCTTTCTTTTCTTTTTTGCCTTAGTGGAGTATCTTGCATTTGTCCCTGTTGAACTTCATTTTGTTAGTTTTGGCCAATCATCTCTCTAATCTGTTCAGATTGTTTTGAATTAGGGCAGAAAATTCCACAATAACCACTTTGAACTGAGTTATCTGAGTCCACACTGCCATATATTCCAGTTCAAAGCAGAAAATGTGGAGTTTTATACAGCTGTGTGGAAGGGACCCCAGACAGCAATATTATTCTTCTGCCAAACTTTTCCCAGGACGGTTGGGCACAAACACAAGATACTTCTGGTCCGCAATTTTCCCGAAAGGCGTAACACTGCATACACATACAGCCACACGCGTCCTTCCACCATCAAACAAATAATTTGAGGAAAGTAAGAAAATCCCCTAGTTGAGTCAGATGTCAAGGTGGGGTTTGTATTCCTAGAAAGTCTTTTGGGTCCTTTGATTCTCAAGGGCAAGGAGGGTTTGGGTTTCTTCGAAATGTCTGGGAGCAAAGAAATCTTTTCCTCCCCTGGGATCTTGGTTGCCAAGGGCATCCGCATTGTTAGCTCCGATATTTCTTTGTCTGGTGTTTTGCTTTCCCTCCCAAATTACTCTGTTTTTCTGCATCATGAATATGTATTTTTTGTCAATGCCCGGCTTTTGTGTTTATGAAAAACATAAGGAGCTCATGATTTCTGTATGTGGACTGGTTTGTATGTGATTTATAGGGATCTCGCCATAATCCTGGTTAAAATGATGAGGAGGGGAATAGACCCTCAAGGAGAGGGGTATTCCTGTTTTTCTCTCCATGGAGGAGGAGGGGAGCCCTTGACCTACTAAGCAAAGAGGAATATGCCTTTTTTTTTGGAGCAGGCAGAGAGGATGTTGGAGCTTCCTTTCATTGCTCTCCTCCTAACCGAGCCTTTCTTTGTTATAAATGCTAAGCAAAAAGGGATTAAAAGCCACATTATGATGCTGGATTTCAGGGAAAGGGCCTGCATATTTAGTAGGCAGATGGAGTAAGGTCCCAACTCAGGGCTAAAATTATTATTATTATGGGTTGCTGTGAGCTTTCCAGAAGCGTTCCCATTTATGGCAGGCATCCTCAGAGATTGAGGGGTCTGTTGGAAACTTGGTAAGTGAGGTTTATATATCTGTGGAATGTCCAGGGTGGAAGAAAGAACTCTTGTCTGCTTGAGGCAAGTGTGAATGTTGGAATTGGCCACCTTGGTTAGCATTGAATGGCCTTGCAGCTTCAAAGCTTGTCTGATTCCTGCCTGGAGAAATCCTTTTTTGGGAGTTTTTAGCTGACCCAAGTATGTTGTGTCCAGGTTGGTTCATCAGGTGCTTTGCTATGGCTGACTTCTCAGGTTGAAGTAGTCTGCAGTGCCTTTCATGTTCCTTGATTCATGTTTGGATGCTGTGTTTGGTGGTCCCTATGGCCACATCATGAGGAGACAGGAAAGCCTAGAGAAGACAATTATGCTGGGGAAAGTGGAAGGAAAAAGGAAGAGGGGCCGACCAAGGGCAAGATGGATGGATGGCATCCTTGAAGTGACTGGACTGACCTTGAAGGAGCTGGGGGTAGTGACGGCCATCAAGGAGCTCTGGCGTGGGCTGGTCCATGAGGTCACGAAGAGTCGGAGACGACTGAACGAATGAACAACAACAACATGGAGACTTGTCCACAGCTGCATAGGATATGATAGACTCCTGCAGATGTGAGAGAATCCCTCTTGTATTATATGAGAACAAAAAAAAAAAAAGATGGTCCACTCTAACAACCACCAGCATGTGGACAATGTCAACAAAAAGGAGGAAACCATAAAAATGAACAAAATAAAGCTACTAGCATTAAAAAAACCTCTAAATAAAGAGCAACACTTAAAAAATAGGAGAATTCCATACAGGAAACAATCAGGGCAAGCTAACACCTCCCAACAAAGAATTCCCCCAGGCAGGAATCAGCCAGTCTTTGAAACTGCAAGGCCATTCAAGGAAAGGGCCTGAGGCTGTTAGGAATTGTGGGAGTTGAAGTCCAAAACACCCAGAAGGCCAAAGTTTGCCCATACCTGGTCTGTACTATATGGCTTTGTAGAAAGGGCCACAGACTCAAAGTTAGCCATGTGCGTCCTTGAGGTAGCTCATAAACGCCTGCCCAACATAGTGTCAAAATCAATCCATTTGTAAAACTACTGGAAACTTCTGGTTTTGGGTTAGTGTGTTGAGCAGTCTGTGTTGAGCAGTCCACGTGGCCACCCAGAAGTTCCCAGAAAACTGGCTCCTGGGCCTGCTGCAATTGCCCAACCCTGCAGCATGCTTTCCCCCCAAATATTTCCCTTACAAGCCATCAAAAATAATCCAGCTAGAATTGTAAATTTACTCTTCACTTTCATCGCTTTGTCCTTCTGTTCTGTTTTCATTCAAGATGCCAAATAGAAATTGTGTCTACAGATGGACTGCTTCCACTTTTCATCTTTTTTAGTGGGTGTATGCTGGCATGTATCCCTTCACAACAAAACAAGTTGCTAGATGTGTGTTCTGTTGATACGGACTTCAACACCAGTCGTGGGGTAATGTTTATTATCATCTGCAATGTTTCCTTGCTTCTTGGCCCTTTCTACCGCAGGTACTGTATATCCTCGAGTATAAGCCTAGTTTTTCAGACCTTTTTTAGGCTGAAAAAGCCCCCCTCAGTTTATACTCGAGTCAAGATTATTTATTATTTTACTATTATTATTATTATTATTATTATTATTATTATTATTATTATTATTACAT